TCGCGCTCGTCTCGCGCAATCGTCGGCTACCTCACCTCGGCCGCCTACTCGCGGGCCGCGGGCGCGCCCGCCGGCATCGGCGCCGTCGCAGCCTCGATCTTTGCCTCTGGCTCGTCCCGCGTCCGCCTCCTCGTCCGTCCCGTCGACTCGCGACAGTACCGGTGGGCGTGGGTGGAGAAGATGACCAGCGAATGAAAGAAAAGATCCTGCCCTACCATTGGGTGTGGTGCGCGTAAGCTAGTCGTGGCTTGTCTCTCCGTCGTCACACCTACGATAGTGACTCGTTGTCTGTGCTGAGTGGTCATTGTTCGATTCGGATCGGCGTCGGCCAATCCGTTCGCAGAGGCATTCATTGGATGAGACCATTGTTTCCATCGATGATTCCTTCAATCATTCGCACTCGTTGCTCGGAGCAGCCATCACACACAGCGACCACCACACCTCTTTGCTCATGTATGTACCCACGTCGTCACCAGACACCGACTCCCACCACCGACCCACCCACCAAGAATTCATGTCATACACCCCCTCCACCTCCTTCACCCCCCCCTGACCCTCCTTGCATACACACACTGCATACCCCCCTTGCCTCTGTCCACCCCCGCCTGCCTTTGGTCTTATTTTTGGATGACCGCCGACCCGATCCTGCCGTCTCCAGCCCACCCTCCCTGGCCCCATACTCACTACCCAACCCACCCCACCACAGACATCATGCCCGTACGCCGCGTCTTACCCCCTTCCACCTCCTTGTCCCCTTCCACCAACTCTTTCTCCCCCCTTCCCTCCCGTAGCCCCCCACCCGTCCTCCCCTCGCCTGGCATTTGTTTTGTATGACTCGCGGCCTCCCCGTCCCCCCTGCCGCACACCCCCCATGCCCGCGCACCGCCTCTCCCAACGCACTGGGCTTGCTGGCAGACCGCTGACATAAGAGGCATGCCCGCTAATTGTCCGCTGTCTATTCCCTGCCCCACTCGTGGTCGACCAGGCTGTCTTTGTCCCTTTTCTGTCCTCCCCAGGGCCTGGCGTCCTTAAGCCTCCAACCAACCGTTCCGCTGCCAGTCCCCTCACCCCTCCGCTCACCCTCTGCCTCTCTCCCTCGTCACACCCACAGTTCTCGTCGCTCGACATGACCAACCCGGCGCCCGCCGATGAGGCCCGCAAGCACAAGATGAAGCGTCTTGTGGCCTCGCCGAACTCGTTCTTCATGGATGTCAAGTGCCCTGGCTGCATCGCCATCACTACCGTCTTCTCGCACGCCCAGTCGGTCATCTACTGCGCTTCGTGCAACCAGGTCCTCTGCCAGCCGACTGGCGGTGCCGTCTCGCTCCAGGAGGGCGCCAGCTTCCGCAAGAAGATCAACTAAGCCGTAGTAAAAGCGAGCAAGTTGCCGCACTCACTGCCACACCCGTGCATCAGCAGCACACGCACGCCGCTCTGCCTCTGACCCGCATAGCAACCATGCAATGGTAGCCACGATCGGCGTGAAAGGTGTTTAGCTTGCCGTGGCAGGCGTGTCACAGCAGCAGGCTTAGAACCGGTCAGGCATCGAGACCGCGCCTGCTGTGCCGGCCTCGCCGGCGGGCCTGGGCGCGAACGCCGGCGATGCGGTCTTGGCCCGATAAACGATGAACCCAACAGCGGCGCCGATGACAAAGACGGCCACCACAATGACGACCATGACGAGGCCAAACGCGGCCTTTGACATGCCCATCACATCCTCGTTCTTGTTCCCCGACACAGTCTGGCCGGCGTCGGTGGCCGGCGGCGGCGGCGCGGGCGGCGACGGCGGCCGATCAACGCCACATGTGCTCGGGTATCCGCAGTCTGCGCACGTCCCATGGAACGTCCGCCAGTTGGCCGGCGCCGTCGACTCGGTGCATGCGTCGCCGTGGACCGTCGTACTCTGGCCCTGGAGCCAGCCGTTGGTCCACGTCCCGCTCTCTCCCTTGCTCCATGCATTTGGCGTCGGCGGCGCCGGCAGGCCAGGCGGCGTGGTGTACGTGTACGAGGCCAGAAAGTCGGCGACTGGCGTGGTGCCAGTGATGCTGATCGACGCGCACGAGTGGTAGACCGAGAAGCACTCGGGATCATCCACGTTGCCGATCGTCGAGCACGAGGTGCCCATTAGCTTGTCAGTCATCGGATTGAGGAGCTGGAGCGTGGCAAACGGCGCGTCCACGTTCGGAATGTCGACCGTAAAGTAGTATGTCTTGTCCGACGATGCCATGTCCCAGTGCGGAATGTGATCAGCAAGGACCACGTCCTCAAAGGTGCAATCACCCACCAGCCCGTCGGGGCCGGATCCGAGTGAGAGTGCGATGCGATACGGCGCGCCGTTGTCTGTGGGGGAGGCGAGGCCGGGAGGGAGGGGGATGAGGGTGAGTAAAGCGATGAATGCGATGACGGACGGATCATGGGGTGCCAAGGAGGATGTAGACGTACGGTTGATGGTCTCATGCCAGGACACAGTGAGCTTGCCGGGCGCCACCGAGGTCCATGGCCCGTCCCACTTGTTGAAGACGCTACGTCCGCACGGATAGTCCTGTCCCCATCAACATCAGCAGCATGTCATGGGCACCCCGTCCGTCCGTACACGCCATGTGAGTGAGTGATATCGACTACCATCGAGCCCCCCCCCCCCCCCTCCCCTCCCCCCCTGCCCTTACCTTGAGCCCAGTCGAGGGCGAGCGCGGCTTGGGACAGAGCCAGGCAGAATGGCCATCCACCCGAACGACCATAGCCATGACAGCCGCCGCCAGGAGACAAGCAGCAAGCAAGCGCATGTTGTGCTCCCTTGGCGTGACTTGCTGAGAGAGGAGAATGCTCTCTGCCCCTCCCCGTCTCTGCTGTTCACTCTCTCACCTGTGGTCTGGTTGCTGCTGGAAAAGGCAGGGATTCACGTGAAAGAGACCACAGAGAAAGAAAAATACGCGACGGTTTGTTGCAGAGGCACTGAGTTCGACTTGCGGGCGCTGTAGATGCAGCAAGAGGTTGAGATTGAGCTTGGGAGCATGCCTCGCTAGTGGAAGAGGCAGAGCTAGTTAGGAGAAGGGAGGGGGAGGCTGGGAAGAAATGGCTTGAGTGGGTCCGCCCGAGGCAGACGGCGGCGGGGGCGAGTTAAAAACGGTTGTTGAGAGCGACGGCATCTGTGTCTGCTGCTTGGTAGGCAGGCATCGCGAGCGATGAAGCAGACGATCGGGCGCGGTGGACGATGAATGCAACCGCGCCGCCGATGACAACAATGACGATGACGATGCCTGCAAGGACGCCGCCAAATGCTGTCCTGGACATGCCCAGGACCTTGTCGTCATCAGTACTCGACGGAGACTGGGTCTGTGCTGGATTGCCAGACGCCGTGCTGGAGCCCGATGAGGTTGAACCTGAAGAGGACGTCGAGCCAGGTGGCGGCGGCGGCGCGGGCGGCGACGGCGGCCGATCAACGCCACATGTGCTCGGGTATCCGCAGTCTGCGCACGTTCCATGGAACGTCCGCCAGTTGGCCGGCGCCGTCGACTCGGTGCATGCGTCGCCGTGGACCGTCGTACTCTGGCCCTGGAGCCAGCCGTTGGTCCACGTCCCGCTCTCTCCCTTGCTCCATGCATTTGGCGTCGGCGGCGCCGGCAGGCCAGGCGGCGTGGTGTACGTGTACGAGGCCAGAAAGTCGGCGACTGGCGTGGTGCCAGTGATGCTGATCGACGCGCACGAGTGGTAGACCGAGAAGCACTCGGGATCATCCACGTTGCCGATCGTCGAGCACGAGGTGCCCATTAGCTTGTCAGTCATCGGATTGAGGAGCTGGAGCGTGGCAAACGGCGCGTCCACGTTCGGAATGTCGACCGTAAAGTAGTATGTCTTGTCCGACGATGCCATGTCCCAGTGCGGAATGTGATCAGCAAGGACCACGTCCTCAAAGGTGCAATCACCCACCAGCCCGTCGGGGCCGGATCCGAGTGAGAGTGCGATGCGATACGGCGCGCCGTTGTCTGTGGGGGAGGCGAGGCCGGGAGGGAGGGGGATGAGGGTGAGTAAAGCGATGAATGCGATGACGGACGGATCATGGGGTGCCAAGGAGGATGTAGACGTACGGTTGATGGTCTCATGCCAGGACACAGTGAGCTTGCCGGGCGCCACCGAGGTCCATGGCCCGTCCCACTTGTTGAAGACGCTACGTCCGCACGGATAGTCCTGTCCCCATCAACATCAGCAGCATGTCATGGGCACCCCGTCCGTCCGTACACGCCATGTGAGTGAGTGATATCGACTACCATCGAGCCCCCCCCCCCCCCTCCCCCCCCCCCCTGCCCTTACCTTGAGCCCAGTCGAGGGCGAGCGCGGCTTGGGACAGAGCCAGGCAGAATGGCCATCCACCCGAACGACCATAGCCATGACAGCCGCCGCCAGGAGACAAGCAGCAAGCAAGTGCATGTTGTGCTCCCTTGGCGTGACTTGCTGAGAGAGAGGAGAATGCTCTCTGCGCCTGCTTCCACCGCCTCACCGCCCGCTCCCCCCCGTCCTCCCGTCCTGCCAGCTTCGGCTTTGTTGTGGCCGTTCCCCTGAAGGCCTTGTTGCTAGCACGTGGTCATGCTGACAAATTTTTGTGTCCCTCACCCAGCCCCCTTACCTCAACCCTTCTCCCGTTCAGAACCCTTGCCCTTCCCTCCCCTCATCTCCCCCATCCCCCCCTCGCCCCCCCATCCCCTTCCCACTACGTCTTCCTATTGCCTCCCCCTCCCTCAATCCCCTTCCATCCCTTCCCTATCGCAACTTCTCGCGATCGTCAACACCGGCACCGGGACACACTCATCTCATCGCCAACTCGAGCCATGCTTGACGCGCTCGCCCCCGAGCTCCTTCACCTCATTGTGTTCGAGTGCACGGCCCTGGACGCCCGCGACGTTCTTGCGCTCTCACTGTCGTGCCAGTACGTCCACGCTGCGCTCCTTGGCAGCGAGTACGGCAAGTTGCGGGCCCAGGCTCTGTTGGGCTTTGCCGCATGCTGCACACGTGGCCTGTGGGCGGCGGCGGCACGGGCGCTGGATGCTCGCGTTGTCGCCGCGCTCACGCTTGCAGACTTGGTCCAGGTAGCGTCGGCGGCAGAGTGTATCAATCCGTCTTGGCGCCGTCTTGTCGACGTCCTTGCCTCGCTGCCTGCTGTGGTGGAGGTACAAACCGGCGAGCGAGTCGGCGGTCTGGCGTGGATCGGCTCGCCTCGACTGGCTGGCATCGCCTCCGTATCCGCTGCATTAGGTCTGGAGGAGCTCGCGATTGAGCTGGTGGAGCTTGCAAGTGAGGAGGAGAAGACAACCATGCTCTTGATGGGCGCGTGCGAGGGTCTCGCTCGTCTAGTTGCGGTGCTGATGAACGACGGCGTCGCCGTCGCCACCGACAACAGCCTTGCTCTCCGGGCTGCATGTCGCGCTGGCCATGCCGATGTGGTCGCCGCTCTTCTTGGCCATCCTGACATTGATCCAGCCGCCGCCGAGAGCGAGGCGCTTCGCAAGGCCTCCGCTGGTGGATCGACCGCAGTCGTGGCTGCGCTGCTCGCCACCGGGGCTGTCGATGCTGGCGCGTGCGGCAACGATGCCATTGCTATGAGCTCCGCCAACGGGCACGCCGACGTGGTGGCACTCCTCCTTGCTCATCCCAGCGTTGAACCGGGTGACAACAACCAGCGCGCCATCTGCTGGGCGGCGAGCAACGATCATCCGCAAGTCGTCCAGGCGCTGCTGGCCGATGCCCGAGTCGATCCTTCGGCGCGCAACAACGAGCCGATCCGCCAGGCGGCTGGGCGTGGCTTTGCCGCAGTCGTCGACTTGCTCCTCGCTCATCCTGCAGTCGATCCGGCCGTCGACTCTAACTATCCCATTCGCTGGGCCGCCCGCTATGGCTGCGCCGACGTCGTCCGTTCACTCCTCGCCCACCCAGCCGTCGACCCCACCGCCGACTCCAACGAAGCACTCGCCTCGGCCATTGAAGGCGGCCACACCGAGACCGTTGATCTCCTCCGCGCTGCCTGCTGCCATCTCGATCGTTCGCCGCCAAACCGCAGCCCTCGCCATCGCAAGGCCTGCTGCATCTCGTGACGCCGTTCGGCCCAGGCGAACAACCAAACGACCGAACGTCTGAAACGAAAGCAACCTCTCTTGGGCCCATGTCGTCGACCCACCGCGGCGTGCCACTCAATGTGGTAGCCCGCATCCAGCCGACACCCCCGGGCGAGCTCAATACCACCTTTGGTGTGCTCATTAACAACAACAAGGTGACCCTCGAGCATGACTCCCGCCCCTCGTTGAATACACCAA